CAGGCGCAGCACCCCCAGCAGTACCACCCGAAGGCCCAGCACCCCCAGGCGTAGTACCCACCCGCGCAGCACCCCCAGAGTCACCAGTAACCTCGACCGGCTCAACCGCGTCTACCTGGGACACACCTGAAGGGGCAAGACCCTGAGGGGGGAGGGGGTCTACCGGGGGGGGACCTGGCACAAGGAAGAGCGGTGGCGGGGGGAGGGAAGGAGTGCGGTAGGGGAAGAGGCGGTAGTAGGGGACCGACTCGTCAAACGTGACGTCCTGAGAGGACAACACGACGAGAGGTGGGGTGGTAGAACTGCCACCCTGGCGCGTCAGGGGGGAAGCCAAGGAAGACACAAGGAGCAGCACAGGGGGACAGCTTGTCCGCAGACAAGTCGCGGACAAACGCCCGAGATCCCCAGACACGGAACTTAGACGCATCGCCTACCTTCCCCGTCCATAGCAAAGCTGGGGAGGTCTCCGGCCTGGAGACCCTGGGGAGAAGGTTGATCTGATGCGCCGCGTACCGAACCGCAAACGGCCACAGAAAATGGGGGGCAGCCGCATGCATCATGGACGTACGAGCGACGTCCATGACCATGCCAATGCGGTGCTCAGCAATCCCATTTTGTTGTGGAGAGTCCGGAAGCGTAAACGTCTGGCGGATGCCTCGCGCACGGCAGTAGGCTCGCAGAAGGCCAGAGGAGAACTCTCCGCCTCTGTGAGAGTGCAGACGCAGAACAAGAAAGTCCGAGCCGAAGCTCCTCCTGAGCTGGAGACGAGCTGCGCGGATCCAGTCGATCAACACCTCAGTGACATTGCCCTTGCTGCGCAAGGGGAAGACTGTGGTGTAACGCGAGGAGTCGTCAACCACCAGCAGAAAGTAGCGCTCGTGACCCTGTCCACGGACGCGGGCTGGGCCCCACACGTCCATGTGAAGCGTCTGCAGCGGGGCCTCTGTCGGGGGAAACGGAGAGGAGTGAGGAGCAGCCCGTAGCCGCCCCTCGACACAGGGGACACAGGAAGGACCAGGCCCCGAAGGAAGGGGAGGGAGGGACCGGGGAAGACCAGAGACAAGGACACGGGAAGCCATGCCTCGGAGACGAGGCAGGGAGGGGTGACCAAGACGGTGGTGCCACAAGAGAGTCTCGTGAGACAGGAGGCGACACGAGCAGGGGGCAGACTCAGGACCAGACCTGGACGCTGCAGCAAACACCTGACCCGACGCAGCTACCTGACCAGACGCAGGGACAGGAGGAGACTCAGTGGTCAGGGTGTAGAGGCTCGACCCCGGCCGACGCGTAAACGTGGCCAGGTGCTGGCCTGTGCGAGCGTCCGAGCAGTGGGTCACCCGCTAACTCGCAGGAGTAAACTGGTGAACCCCCGTATCCTGCAGGTCAGCACTACTCACAAAGTTCGTAGAGAATGAGGGGAGGTAAAGACCAGACAAGGTGCCAGAGGGGGCAGTCGGACACGGGAGGACAGTGGAGAAGTGAGAGAGGACAGGACCCCCAGAGGGGTCTGCCAGGGAGACTGCAACCGGCCGACCAAGCGGCGTGAGTGTGGTGCGGTCTCGAAAGAAGGAGCGAGAAGCCCCTGAGTCAAGTGTGAAGGTGAGGGAGGCCGAAGTCGACGCGGTACCTGAGAGCGCAGACTCACCAGTACCTGAGGACGCAGACGCACTGGCACCTAGAGCAACAGTCGCACTAGCACCTAGAGCAGCAGCCTCACCAGTACCTAGAGCAGCAGTCTCAATGCCCGGATCGGGCAGGAAACACCGGTAACAGTCACCCTCGTCACTATAAGTCACAGCATACATGGCAGCAAGAATAGCATCAAAGTCAAGATCAAAGATAACTACACCTGCCCTAGACAGCTCTCCCCAGCGGGGGATCTCAGCGGCCTCCGGGAACTGGTGACGCCAAGCGTCCGTCAGGCGGCCAAAGTAGCGCTGGGTGGAGTGGGCACCCCCACACTGCTCACCCGCGCGGTCGCCGGTGCGAAGGACGTAGGTGCACGGACCAAAACCCCCACCACGCTGACGCGCAGTGTACCACTCACGGAGCTGCTGAGGGGGGGGGATGTCCCGAGAACGCTGCTGCTGCTGCTGCTGCTGGCGCTGACCACCACCGAAGCCGCTCCGCTGCGAAGCGCCACCCCATCACCATGCCCCATCACCATGCCCCATCACCATGCCCCATCACCATGCCCCATCACCATGCCCCATCACCATGCCCCATCACCATGCCCGATCACCATGCCCCATCACCATGCCCCATCACCATCCCCCATCACCATGCCCCATCACCATGCTCCATCACCATGCCTCATCACCATGCCCCATCACCATGCTCCATCACCATGCCCTATCACCATGCCCCATCACCATGCCCCATCACCATGCCCCATCACCATGCCCCATCACCATGCCCCATCACCATGCCCCATCACCATGCCTTTGGCCGGTTAGCCTTTGGCCGGTTAGCCTTTGGCCGGTTAGCCTTTGGAAGGTTAGCCTTTGGCCGGTTAGCCTTTGGCCGGTTAGCCTTTGGCCGGTTAGCCTTTGGCCGGCTAGCCTTTGGCCGGTTAGCCTTTGGCCGGTTAGCCTTTGGCCGGTTAGCCTTCGGCCGGTTAGCCTTTGGCCGGTTAGCCTTTGGCCGGTTAGCCTTTGGCTGGTTAGGGGTGTTGGTGGACAGTTATGGCTTTCTCTTGGTGCTACCTTGCTATGATGAGTGCACGCTTTCCTAGTTCAGTGCTTTCTGTTTGGCTATCAACTGTGGTTATATCACTTGGTAACCTCATATGGTAACCTCAAATGGTAAGCGGAGATGGTAACCTCAAATGGTAACCATAAATGGTAACCTCAAATGGTAATCTCACATGGTAACCTGAAATGGTAACCTTATATGGTAACCTCAAATGGTAACTTTATATGGCAACCTCAAATGGTAACCTCATATGGTAACCTCAAATGGTAACCTCAAATGGTAACATCATATGGTAACCTCAAATGGTAACCCCACATGGTAAAATTGCATGGTAACCTCCCGCCCTGTTGGCTTCCAGCTGGCTGCCCTGCCACATTGCCGTCACCCTCTCCAAGTCTCTTCCCGTTCATTCCTCTCAGGCCTTGACCTGCCCGTGCTGCCGCACGAATGCTGTAGCCATTCTTGGCAAAATTGGGGGCTGTGCCTGCTGCAGTGCCCGTCTCCTCATCTCTTGCTTTCACTACATTGCCCCGACTTAGGGGTTGGCTGGTGGAGGCACAACTGGGAAGGCAGCTTTTGCAAGAAGGGCAAGCGGAGTGGCGGAGAGAGCTGTAGCAGGAGGGGCAGGCGGAGCGTGCTTTCATTGGCCTGACTCCCACCTTCTTTCTGCCTACCATATGTCATGTCTCTTTCTTGTCTCTTGTATGTCCCTTTCACAAGGCGCGCTGCCTGGTGAGGACCGATCTGACAGAGGCAGTTATGGCCGGAGGGGGCGTGGCAGGAGGCAGAAGGTAATGGAGAGAGGGGATGGGCATGAGGGAGGGGGAAGAGAAGGCACACGTTTGTGTCAGAGGTCCACTTGTGATCCCCGATTGATCCTAGGAAAGGGTTACAGGCACGTTGACCTGGGGGGTTGTGGGCGCACTTACCCACTACACAAACAAGCCCTTTTATCCCAATGGTCTAGTGGTTGGGATTCTGACATGGTATCAGAGCGAAGGTCTCGGGTTCGAATCCTGGTGTGTGCACCTCGGGCATCCTAGTGCGGGGGGGTGTCAGAGGTCTACTGGTGATCCCCGATTGATCCTAGGAAAGGGTTACAGGCACGTTGGCCTGGGGGGTTGTGGACGCACTTACCCGCTATACAAACAAGCCTTTTTATCCCAATGGTCTAGTGATTGGGATTCTGACAGTTTGCAGGGGTTGACCGGAGAGTGATGGGGCACAGAGTGTTCTTTATAGGGCCAAACTCGCTGCAGGAAAATACGGGGTAATTTGGCAGAGTATTACCAAGGAAATAATCCAGGCAATTTGGGCAGTTATGTTTTGTTGTGTGCTCCTCTCTTAATATAATGTAAAGTAATTTATCTATAATATCTTTAGATTTCGTAATTTTACTGCAATACCTAGGCTCGTATGCGGTGTACTGTCGATTTGTTGACGTAGCATTTGCTGAAAAAAAAAAAACATTACTGGTATTCACAAAACGATATGGTAGAGAAATATAATTTATTCTGCTAAGTTATTGTGAAGAAATATAATTTCTACAGTGAGCTTACACAAAAATGAATGGTTCGAGGAGTTCGCGTCAGCTGGTTCGGCCTACATCTGCGTCCCGAACCACTTCCGAGCCGCCCCGCACCTTTCACCAAAACCCGAGCCTCGTTCCGCGATTCTCGCCTAGCTCGGCTCTGCCTATTTACCCCTCGTTTTTTAAACTCGAAGGGCATTCAGTTAGTAGTTTCCTAGCTTGTAAGAAACTCGCACTGATAACAGTCGATATTTCGAATTGGCCTAAATTGCGTCACGCCACCGCTTGGCAAACATTGGCTAGGGTCAGTAGGAGGTGTGCACAGGACCCGCGGTCAGGATCAGTAAATGAGAGCTGGTAAGGCAACAGTGGGACGTCTGATAGTGACTCGATAGCGGTAGCGTCGAAGCGACACACAGGGCGACGAGAGAGCGGCGGACGGCGACGAAACCGCGAGTGGTCAACGGCGAAAATGGAAGAGTAGGCGACGAGAGCGAGAAGAGCCGATTCGCGATGGCGGAGAGCTGCGACAGCAGAAGCGCGAGGAGCAGCAGCAATGGGGGGATAGGGCAAACACGGGCGCGCAGGCGGGGCTCCCGCCGGCGGCGACTGCCGAAGCAGCGGCGGGCGGCGGCGGCGCGACGAGGCGGTGGAATCCAGCGCCCGTCGCGCTCCGCCTGGACCACTTACTCGCCGCCCGCTGCGCACACGCACGCCTCTACCGCCGCCTCCGCGAGAGTCCACGCCAGTGCGCACCAGTGCAGGGATAGCGCATATGGGGGCAGCGGTGACGAGCGGCCGCGCGGGGCGGGAAGGGGAGGCGGAGCGGAGGGAGGCGGAGCGGAGGGAGGCGGAGCGGGGGAGGGGAGGCGCAGGGAGGGGAGGGGGAAGGGGGGATGCGGGCGCGTGTGGTTTGGGTGTGGAGGAAATGGAGCGAGGGGACAGAGGGGAGGGACAGCTCAGGGAGGCGAGTGGGGTGCGTAAGGTTAGGGGAGGGCGGGACGGAGGACAGGCATGGGAGGGGCACGGCATGGGTGGAGCATGAGAGGCGTGAAGGGGGGTGCGCTGGCACAGCGGTGGGAGTGGGAGAGTCAAGAGTAGGGTCAGGAGGGGAAGAGGGGAAGGTAAGGTTAGGGGAGGGCAGGTGAATGAGGGGCAGGTGGATGGGAGGCGGGTGGGGAGGCGAAAGCGAGGGAGGAGAAAGGGAGGAGCGAAGGGAGGGGAGGGGAAGGGAGGGGAGCAGAAGGAAGGGGAGGAGAAGTGTGGGGAAGAGAAGGGAGGGGAAGAGAAGCAAAGCCAAAAAGGCAAACTCAGCTGACCACCGGCGTGGATGCATGCAGCTGGTGGGGCGAGGAGCATTGGAGTCGACTTAAGAACACCCAAAGCAGGTGAGGCGAGCTCAGCTGACTGCTGAGGCGACGAGCAGGCATGCAGCAGGTGAGGCGAGGAGTTTCTGATTATTCACAAACCCACCATGATGAAACTTTAGTCAACCCAAAAAACACCCTGCAAAAAAAAGTCAAAATCAGCCATACATTGGCGAGGAGGCAAGCAGCAGGTGAGGCAAGCAGCAGATGAGGCAAGCAGCAGGTGAGGCAAGCAGCGGGTGAGGTAGTGAGCTGACCACTTGCTACCGATCACCAACACCAATCCGAACTCCAGCCCACAAACACCACTAATGGGCCATGACGCCGTAAGCCGTGCACCTGCATTATTGGCTGCACTGCTGACCCAACGCCTTTTCCTCCCTCCCACCCCTCCCTGCTGTCTCTCTCTCTCTCTCTCTCTCTCTCTCTCTCTCTCTCTCTCTCTCTCTCTCTCTCTCTCTCTCTCTCTCTCCCCATCTGCCCCCTCTCTCCCCTCCCATTTCCCTTTCCCTCCCAGGCACGCCCACCTGGTGGTCACTCCGGTGGCTGTACTGCTTGTGGAGCTGCTGCGATCCCACTGCTGTCCCCACTCCCACCTCTCTCCCTCCCTTCCTTCTCTAACCCCCTTTTCCCCTATCCCCGCCCCGCCCCTCTATTCCCCAGGTACGCCCACCAGGTGGTGACACCAGATCTCAACAGCTGCTAATCCATCCATCCATACCCCTTTCTTCCCTTCCACTCCCCTCCATCCCTCTATGCCCCATCTTTCACCCCCCAGATACGCCCCCCAGGTGGTCACACCCGAGCTCAACGCGCTGCTGGTGGAGGCTGGAGCGGCTGTGATTCCGAGTCAGGGCGCTTCAGAAAGGCCCAATCAAAGGCAAGTCTCCTTGTAGGTGATGTTCCCTCGAGGTGGGTCCAGGTCAGAAGCCTGGGAGGAAACGGGCGTGCTGTGATCCCAAGTCGTGGCGTTCCAAAAAGACCCTCCACCAGGTGAGCCCCCCTCCAGGTGAGCCCCCCTCCAGATGAGCCCCCCTCCAGGTGAGCCCCCCTCCAGGTGAGCCCCCCTCCAGGTGAGCCCCCCTCCAGGTGAGCCCCCCTCCAGGTGAGCCCCCCTCCAGGTGAGCCCCCCTCCAGGTGAGCCCCCCTCCAGGTGAGCCCCCCTCCAGGTGAGCCCCCCTCCAGGTGAGCCCCCCTCCAGGTGAGCCCCCCTCCAGGTGAGCCCCCCTCCAGGTGAGCCCCCCTCCAGGTGAGCCCCCCTCCAGGTGAGCCCCCCTCCAGGTGAGCCCCCCTCCAGGTGAGCCCCCCTCCAGGTGAGCCCCCCTCCAGGTGAGCCCCCCACCAGGTGAGCCCCCCACCAGGTGAGCCCCCCTCCAGGTGAGCCCCCCTCCAGGTGAGCCCCCCTCCAGGTGAGCCCCCCTCCAGGTGAGCCCCCCTCCAGGTGAGCCCCCCTCCAGGTGAGCCCCCCTCCAGGTGAGCCCCCCTCCAGGTGAGCCCCCCTCCAGGTGAGCCCCCCTCCAGGTGAGCCCCCCTCCAGGTGAGCCCCCCTCCAGGTGAGCCCCCCTCCAGGTGAGCCCCCCACCAGGTGAGCCCCCCACCAGGTGAGCCCCCCTCCAGGTGAGCCCCCCTCCAGGTGAGCCCCCCTCCAGGTGAGCCCCCCTCCAGGTGAGCCCCCCTCCAGGTGAGCCCCCCTCCAGGTGAGCCCCCCTCCAGGTGAGCCCCCCTCCAGGTGAGCCCCCCTCCAGGTGAGCCCCCCTCCAGGTGAGCCCCCCTCCAGGTGAGCCCCCCTCCAGGTGAGCCCCCCTCCAGGTGAGCCCCCCTCCAGGTGAGTCGCTGTCACAACGCGTCCAGCAGGATCGAACCACCCAAGGGCCTTTCCAACAGAACCTGCTCAAGGCGAGTCCCTTTTCCAGCTTTCTGAAAAGGCCCTCAAGGCTAGCCCTGGCGGTGCAATTGCAATGCAACCACCCTGCACTGCAGTAACTGCCACACTGCGGTTGGGGCAGAAGGCGTGCCTCCTCCCCTCTCCCCATGCCCCCTCCCCTTCCACGTCCCCCTTCCCCCTCCCCCTCACCCCCACTCCCCCCTCCACATCACCATCCATTCCCATCCGCCTTTGGCCGCCAACACATGGCTGGGAACAGAGAGCGATGGGGCGGCAGGACGGCAGGCAGTGCAATGCAAGGCTGAAGGAGATCCTCCCATTTTCCTCCCTCCCCCCCCCTCCACGCACAGGGAGCGATGAGGCGCCGTGTGCTTGCAGGGCTGGAGGAGAATACAAGCTTTCTGCAGTTCGAGGAGGTCCCCTTCCCCGCCACAGCCCCCCCTCCCCTTTCTTCCCCACTCCGTCCTTCCCCACGCACAGGGAGCAATGAGGTGCCGTTTGCTAGTGGGGCTGAAGGGGGTGGGGCGGGCGGTGTGGGGCTGAAGGGGGTGGGGCGGGCGGTGTGGGGCTGAAGGGGGTGGGGCGGGCGGTGTGGGGCTGAAGGGGGTGGGGCGGGCGGTGTGGGGCGGGCGGTGTGGGGCTGAAGGGGGTCAATCCTCTCCCCTTCCCCAACCCCCAACCCCCTCTCACTTAAACCATCCATGCACAGGAAGCAATGAAGTGCCGCGTGCTAGCAGGGCTGAAGGAGGTGGGGCAGGCAGTGCAAGGCTGAAGGAGATCCCTCCTGCCTTATTCTTCATAGCCCCCTCACATGCATGGGATGGGAGCAGGGAGCAATGAGGCGCCGTGTGTTGGCTGTGCTGAAGCGGATGGGAAGGGCTGTATGGGACTGAAAAGAACTCCCTCTTTCTCATCCCTCCCTCCTTCCCCGCGCCGCTCACAGGGAGCAATGCGGCACCGCGTGCTGGCAGGGCTGAAGGAGGTGGGGCAGGTGGTGCGCAGTGGGAGGACCAAGTGTGTGGTGCTGGCGCCTAACGTGGAGGAGGTGAGTGGGGCCGGTGAGGAGAGGGGGATGAGGGGAGGGTGGTGAGGGGAGGTGAGGGTGGGGTAATGAGGGGTGGCACTGGATATGCAGGTGTGTGGTGGTGGCAGCTGCTGTGGAGGAGGTGTGTGGGGCAGGTTGAGCGGGGGGAGATGCTGGTGGATGGTGCATGGTGGGGTGGGGTAGGGTACGCAGTGGAAAGGCCAAATGTACATTGCGCCCAGTGCTTGCACCCAACGGGGAGGGGAAAAGGCGCCTGGGGAGGGTGGGAAAGAGGAGGGTAAGGTATGGATGGCAGGTGAGAGGAAGGGTTAGAGTTGTTAAGTGCGTGGTGCTGCTGCTGGCTATCTGCATAGGAGGGTTGCCGTGGCCAGATGAGAGGAGGAGAGGGGGCTGGGTGTGGGCAGGAGGAAAGGAGGGTGGGGGTTCCACTTACCCCTCACAACCCCCCTCGCACCCCCGAGGATCACCTTGTTGTGGGCTGCTGCTGTCGGCAGGCTCTGGGACACATGGCACATGTGGTGAGTGTTATGCCCACTAACCATGCCCAGTTACCCATGCCCATTCACCCATGTCGCTTCACACATGCCCATTCACCCATGTCGCTTCACACATGCCCATTCACCCATGTCGCTTCACACATGCCCATTCACCCATGTCCCTTCACACATTCCCTTTCACCCATGTCCCTTCACACATTCCCTTTCACCCATGTCGCTTCACACATGCCCATTCAACCATGTCGCTTCACACATGCCCATTCACCCATGTCCCTTCACACATTCCCTTTCACCCATGTCCCTTCACACATTCCCTTTCACCCATGTCCCTTCACACATTCCCTTTTACCCATGTCCCTTCACACATTCCCTTTCACCCATGTCCCTTCACACATTCCCTTTCACCCATGTCCCTTCACACATTCCCTTTCACCCATGTCCCTTCACACATTCCCTTTCACCCATGTCCCTTCACACATTCCCTTTCACCCATGTCCCTTCACACATTCCCTTTTACCCATGTCCCTTCACACATTCCCTTACACCCATGTCCCTTCACACATTCCCTTTCACCCATGTCTCTTCACACATTCCCTTTCACCCATGTCCCTTCACACATTCCCTTTCACCCATGACCCTTCACACATTGCCAGAGCTTAAGATTGTTCATACGTCCGTTGTAGTCTAGTCGGTTAGGATACTCGGCTCTCACCCGAGAGACCCGGGTTCAAGTCCCGGCAACGGAATGGTTTTTGACGGGTTTGGAAGTCACACTCCGGTAAGTGGTCACAGGAGATACAACCCAAAACATTGACAGTGTGTGTTGTGCACAATTGACCTCACAGGGTTCCTCTTGCCTCCCGCCGTCAAAACAAGGTGGTTTTGCAACTGAGAGGGAGCGATGAGGGAAGGAGTGTCTATTTGTTCCATAACTTCAACGGCTATGCCGTTCCCCAACTCTCACTGCCCTTGCTTCAGAAGCAAATAGTTTTTCTAGTCGACGCATGTATGGGCATACAAAAAGGACACAAACAACCTCTTCTTCCACCTTCCCATGCTGCCTCATGCTACTTCTCTTGCCCCTTACCCTTCCCGTCACCTGCCCCTTTCTGTCTTCCCATGCTTCTCTGTCTTCTTCCTGTCCCCTTACCGTATTTGATAGCCCCTTTCACTCCGTTCCCTCCCGCCAACACCTTCAAAACCACTTGGCGTACAAGAAGGACCCGATCAACCTTCCGAGCTATGCCATGCTGCCTCCTGCTGTTTCTTTTGGTATCTTCCTTTCCCCTTGCCTTTCGGTCACATGCCCTTTGCTGTCCCTTCCGCCCCATCTTCCCCCACCCCCTTCAGAACCACAAGGCATACAAGAAAGAACTCAAAAACCTCTTTCTCGGCTATGCCATGCTGCTGCCTAAGGCTGACTCCTCTCTAGCCTCGTTTCTTAAACCCTTTCTGTTCCCTTCCAGCCCATCCCCTCAACCTTTCCAACCCTTGCCCATCTCGCCCGTTCTCCCCTCCCCTCCCCCCTGTTTCAAAACCATTGGGTGTACAAGAAGGATTCCCGAAATCTGTTTCCCGGTTACACCATGCTGCACCTTGCTACTGCCTTTGCGCCCCGCCGCCCGCCTTGTGGGCGGAAGAGGAGGATGAGAGGGAGAGGTGGAGAGTGGGTTTGGGCGGCAGATCTTTTGGTCAGAGTATTCAGTACAGTGCTGTTGGCGATGCCGTAAGTGATGGTGGTTGGGACTGATACAAGAGGAAGAAACAAGATAACAGAAAGGGTAAGGGGAACGGAAGAGAGTTGCATGTGATGGTGGTTGGATGGAGTTGCCCCGGCCCCTCCGCCACCGCTGGGCAGAGTACTCGATCCACCCCAATCATCCCCCACCACCTCACTCTCCGCCTCTCCCACCACCATCTCACTCCCACTACCATCTCACTCCCACCACCATCTCACTCAAACTCCTCCCTCTAGGAAGCTAGGCTGCAGCAGTCAAATAAGGAGTCATGCCACAACGGAGAATTTCCAACAAGGCAGGCAGCTTGGGTTGTTTGTGTTACGGTTTGTGCCCCTTCACAAAATGTAAAGAAACCCAGTATTAATATCGTACATTACGTAGATGTATTGCACTAGCTAGGTTCGTTCGTATGCGTTGTAGCGCATGAATATTTTTTTCGCGATAGTTGAAATTGGCAATAGACCTTGTAGCGTTTGAAGAGAGATTTATTGGTTATATTTTATGATTCTACACAGAACCTGACTCATCTCAATTTCTATAAGGTAGTGTAATCTGTTTCTGTAGGAGTGTAATCTGTTTCTAAAGGATTGCTTCAGCGAGGGTGTTCCGAGGCGCTCACGTCAGCTGGTTCAGCCTAAAAGTTCCCCCCGAACCACTTCCGAGCCGCCACCGTGCCTTTCGCCACACTTCCGAACCTTGCTACGCCGAGGTTCTCGCCTAGCTCGACTCCTAAATATATAATCTTGTTTTGAACATTCATTGGGTATTCAGTAGCGCTCTTCAGATTTCAAAATTTAGTACATGTCAGTACATTCTTGAAACATTCCCACTCATAACGAATCACTCCTTTGTGTCAGCCGAAATTGTGTCGGACCACCATTTGCGGGCCACTGGCTAGGCTGGAGTCACAGGGCAGGAGGACCCGTCGCTCGGTAGAGATCGCGTCGAAGCGACAGACAGGGTGACGAGAGCGCAACGGACGGCGACGAAACCGTGACAGACAGGGCGACGAAAATGCGACAGATAGAACGACAGTAGACGACGAAACAGGGACAGACAGAGCGACACTAGATGACAAGAGCAAGAAGAACGGCAGAGGGGCGAGGAGCAGCGGCAATGGCGGATGGGGGAAGCACGGGCGCGCAGGCGAGGCTTCCGGCGGCTGCAGTGGCGGAAACAGCACCGTCGCTGTGAGCACCACAGCGGCGGCGCCGGCACTGGCGCGAAGAGGCGGTGGAAGGCCGCGCCGGTCGCGCTCCGCCTTGACCACTTCCTCGCCGCCGCTACCGCCGCCATTCCTGCTGCACGCGCGCCTCTACCGCCGCCGCGGAGAGGGAAGGGGAGGCGGAACGGAGAGGGGAGTCGCAGGGAGGGGAGGGGAATAGGTGGATACTAGCGCGTGTGGTTTGGGTTCGGCGGAAATGATGCGAGGGGTGGGAGAACGGGGGGCAGGAGGGCGGAAGAGGGGAGAAGGCGCAGGCGGACGGGTGGGGACAGGTGGGGTCGGGCGGGAAAAGGGGGAAAACGGGGGAAAGGTGTAGGAGGGCGTGCGCGCGAGAGGGTGCGTGGAGACGCGCTGTGGAGGGGTGGGTGAAGGCAGCAACGTGGGAGAGAATTGGTGTGAGGCGGGGGAAGGAGAGGCAGACACCGAATTGGAAGCGAGCGAGCCGCTTGAAACGCATGGTGGTGCTGGCGACACAGGCGCGCGAGCGTGGGCGGCAGTGCGAGTCCGGGGAGAGGGGGAGATGGGGGAGGGGTGGATGGGGGAGGAGGAGAGGGGGGATGGGGAGGCGGGGACCTCAGGGTGAACGACACATGGGAGCAGGGAGCTGTGAGGCGGCGCATCCCCTGCATCCCCCTCTCCCTCCGCATCCCCCTCTCCCTCCGCATCCCCCTCTCCCTCCGCATCCCCCTCTCCCTCCGCTTCACACATGGCCATTCACCCATGTCGCTTCACACATGGCCATTCACCCATGTCGCTTCACACATGGTCATTCACCCATGTCGCTTCACACATGGCCATTCACCCATGTCGCTTCACACATGGCCATTCACCCATGTCCCTTCACACATGCCCATTCACCCATATCCCTTCACATATTCCCCTTCACTCATGCCCATCACCATCTTCCGTCACCACCCACCACTGCACACCACCACCATGCAGGTATCTGCCTTCATGCGCCCATCCCCTTCCACGCCTTTTACCAGGTAAGCTGTGGGGGCGGTGTGTGCCTTTCCACCAGGTGGTTTCCAGGAAATTACCAGGTGGTTTCCACGAAATCACTAGGAGCTTATGAACAGGTGATTATCAGGTGGCTATGTGTGTTGAGCTATTGGGTGAGTTGTAGGGGGGTATGTGGGTGGTTTGCTGCACCTGAAGGCATTACTAGCCCCTGAAGGCACTACTAGCCCCTGAAGGCACTACTAGCCCCTGAAGGCACTACTAGCCCCTGAAGGCACTACTAGCCCCTGAAGGCACTACTAGCCCCTGAAGGCACTACTAGCCCCTGAAGGCACTACTAGCCCCTGAAGGCACTACTAGCCCCTGAAGGCACTACTAGCCCCTGAAGGCACTACTAGCCCCTGAAGGCACTACTAGCCCCTGAAGGCACTACTAGCCCCTGAAGGCACTACTAGCCCCTGAAGGCACTACTAGCCCCTGAAGGCACTACTAGCCCCTGAAGGCACTACTAGCCCCTGTGCCTCATGTCTGCTGTTCCAATCTCATGTAGGTGGTTTGCTTTCTCTTCCACTTCACTTCTTTTGTCACTGCGTCACATCACCATTTCTCCGAGCATGCATTTTGATACGTAGGTGTAAAATCTTCTTGTCCCTCTTCCCACTTCCTTCTTTCTTCTCCTCTGGACAGTTCTTTCAGTGACTTCTCCATTGAAAGAATCATTCAGCACCAAATTCATGGTGAGGAGGAGATGGTGGGGGGTGCCGTGAGCACGAGAGGGAGAGATGGGGTAGTGGAGCAAGCACGAGGTGGAGAGGGGGAGATGGTGGGGTAGTGGAGAAAGCACGAGGGGGAGAGGGGGAGATGGTGAGGTAGTGGAGAAAGCACGAGGGGGAGAGGGGGAGATGGTGGGGTAGTGGACAAAGCACTAGGGGGAGAGGGGGAGATGGTGGGGTAGTGGAGAAAGCACAAGGGAGAGAGGGGGAGATGGTGGGGTAGTGGAGCAAGCACGAGGGGGAGAGGGGGAGATGGTGGGGTAGTGGAGAAAGCACGAGGGGGAGAGGGGGAGATGGTGGGGTAGTGGAGAAAGCACGAGGGGGAGAGGGGGAGATGGTGGGGTAGTGGAGAAAGCACGAGGGGGAGAGGGGGAGATGGTGGGGTAGTGGAGAAAGCACGAGGGGGAGAGGGGGAGATGGTGGGGTAGTGGAGAAAGCACGAGGGGGAGAGGGGGAGATGGTAGGGTAGTGGAGAAAGCACGAGGGGGAGAGGGGGAGATGGTGGGGTAGTGGAGAAAGCACGAGGGGGAGAGGGTGGAGGCTAAAGCAAGAGGGGGGGAGATGGTGGAGGAGAACCATGAGTCAAACCGAGACAACTATAGCGAGTTTGTGGGTTGACATGGCAGTCCCCTGAGTGGCTTATCCATTGTCGACGTCTTCAGCACTGCCCTCCTGGTGAGGGAGTGGAGCGTGTGGGTGGCAGAAATGGGTGAGAAGGGAAAGAGGAAGGTGAAAAGAGGAGAGGAAGAGGGGTTGAAATTTAAATCGTGATAGTTGCTTGAGCGATACTTTCACATCCGTTGTAGTCTAGTCGGTCAGGATACTCGGCTCTCACCCGAGAGATCCGGGTTCTCAAGTCCCGGCAACGGAATGGTTCAGTTTTGGTGGGTTTTGGACAACCCAAAACATTGACAGTGTGTGTTGTGCACAATTGACCTCACAGGGTTCCTCTTGCCTCTCGGTGTCCAAAGAAAGTGGTTTTGCAGCTGCGAGGGAGCGATGGGGAAAGGAGTGTCTTTTTGCTCCATAACTTCAATGGTATGCCATTCCCCAGCTCTCAATGTCCTTGCTCCAGAACCAAATATGTTTTCTAGTCAATGCATGTATGGGCATACAAGAGAGACACAAGCAACCTCTTCTTCCACCTTCTCATGTTGCCTCATGTTGCCTCATGCTGCCGCATGCTGCCTCATGCTGCTTCATGCTGCCTCATGCTGCCTCATGTTGCCTCATGCTGCCTCATGCTGCCTCATGCTGCCTCATGCTGCCTCATGCTGCATCATGCTGCTTCATGCTGCATCATGCTGCTTCATGCTGCCTCATGCTGCTTCATGCTGCCTCATGCTGCCTCATGCTGCTTCTCTTGCCCCTTACCCTTCCCATCACCTGCCCCTTTCTCCCACCCCCTTGAGAACCTTTGAGCGTACAAGAAGGGCCAAGCGAGCAACTTCCTCCCTGCTGCTACCCTTGCTTCTTTCCTTTCTCGTTACCCTTCCTGTCCTGTGCCCCATTCTGCCCCACCTCCGCACACATCAGAACCACTAGGCGTACTTACTCCCGCCTTCCTTCTGCACCCTTTTCTTTCTATAACCTCTCACACGGCACTGGTCCGTCGCATTCTTTCCCCTATTTCCCACACCGATTCGGTTAGCAAAGTGGTCCGACGTGTTCTTCGTGTTTCGCGCACGCCCGTGGTGTCCGTCGTGTGACGCTGAGTCGACTCAAAAGTCAACGCACGCCCGTGGTGTCCGTCGTGTGACGCTGGCGAACGGGGTGGGTTGGGACCAACGTGCTCGGTGCGCGCTGCGCAAATTGAGCAGCTTCGCGCGACTCGATAAGGTAGTGGCATGTTTGACATTGCCGGCATCTCAGCATCTCGACTGCAATTCCTTCCTAGTGAACAGTGGTGGTGGTGGTGGTGGTGGGCCGACAGTCATGTCCGAATGGTGCGCCCCCTCCAGACTTCCCCTTGCCAAGACGGACTTGTGCACGTCATGGAACGCTCACTTGCTGATCGCACTTGCTCACCTCACTTGCTAATTGCACTTGCTCACCCTGTTGTTGTCACGCCCCTTCCCCTCTCCTCATCCCACTTCTCCCCTCCTCATCCCCATAAGCCGTCCCCATTAACTTTCCCACGCACAGGGAGCGATGCGGCGGCGCGTGCTAACGGAGTTGAAGGAGGTGGGGTACGCGGTGCATTTTTGAGTCGACTCAAAAGTCACCTCGGAGTTTGAAGGAGGTGGGGCATACGGTGCATTTTTTAGTCGACTCAAAAGTCACCTCGGAGTTGAAGGAGGTGGGGCACGCGGTGCATTTTTGAGTCGACTCAAAAGTCACCTCGGAGTTGAAGGAGGTTGGGCACGCGGTGCATGCTCAAAACGTTGGATATAAAGGGCGGGAGAATTTTGACACGTCTCAAAAGGGCAGGCCGTGTGCAGCTAGAAGGAATCCCCCCTCTCACCTCCTCCGCCCTCTCACCTCCTCCGCCCTCTCACATCCCCCACCCTCTCACCTCTCCCCACCCTCTCACATCCCCCGCCCTCTCACCTCCTCCCCCCTCTCACCTCCTCCGCCCTCTCACATCCCCCGCCCTCTCCCCTCTCCCCGCTCTCACCTCGCCCTACCCTCTCTCCCCGTTTTTGGGCCCTCACAGCCCACTGCACCTGCCCCTGGGAGCTCCCCGAACACCCTGGCCAGAAACTGCCAGAGCGCACCGGCCAGCACCACCAGGGCACTTTGGCTCTCTCAACAGCTCCAGACCAGATTTTGTCAATCTCTCCCCCAACAGCCTTGTAGCAAGCGGCAAAACCCGAAAAAGTACAAGCAGCACACTTTGAATCCTGCATCTCAATCATCCCCACTCTTCTTCTCCATTCGCTTCCTCTTCCATGCCCCTCTTTATTCTCATGCCATTGCCAGTCCTTTAGTCCCCCCCCCTCTGCAAACACCCCCAAACTAGTTTCCAACCCCCTTTTTCTTGCTTCTCTTGCCCTTTTTCCATGTTTCCCATTCCCTGCATCTCTCACTGCCACCTTAGCAATTTCAGTAGGGCGGGCGTGGAGGGGCACTGCTACAGCAAGTCAGAGTTGGGTGAATGACTTGCTGGGACGGGTCAGACACCCAAGTCAGACACCTAGGGGAATGCACTTTGAGGAGGGGGGCTGGGTGTGGAGGAGAATTGTGTTTGTGGGGTTGGAGGGAGGACTTGGGGGAGAGGGAAAAGGGGGGCTGGTAGGGTAAGGAAGAGGCAGGCGTATCGTAAGGGGTTGGAGAGCATGTTAACAGTCGTCTCACATTGATGGCATGGCATGGAATGGGGTATGGTGGTGGCTTGAGCAGCACGTGCATGGCACGAATGGCAGTACTTAGCCCTGCAAAAGCTAAACTCAATCAGATTATGAGGGATTGCTGCACTTAGAAATCATATAAGAGAAGCCATGTTGTGCAATCTAGTTGGGGAAGATACAACTAAGGCGGCCTCCCATGCGCATCTGATTCCATACATCATCTCATCCCGTACATCATCCTACAGTGCACATCTCACGACACTGTCATTTTGGAACCAAACTTGCTTCCCTCGATGCACCACCCTTGCATATCTGAACCTACTTATGCATGCAAGTCACTCATTCCTGCCCTTCACCCATGCATGATCTTCACTCAACAGTATCCCCTCCAGGTCCGTTGGACACTATGAGCATGCCAAACAACTGGAGCATCTGAGTCAGCAGCTGAATTAAGCAGGGCAGGGGTTCGCGCATTAAGTGGGTAGAGTGGTGGTGGTGCAGTGTGAAGATGGAGCTGCAATATCCTTTGTCTGATCCTGCTTTACTCAATTCATAACTGCATTGTGGTGAGTGCTGGTGGCCGCAGAGGAGAGACGAGGAGGGCAACCTGCCGAGAGGAGCAGCACTGCAGCACACACTGAGATTTTCTCCCCTCACATGCAAGCCTTCATTGCCTGCATCCTCCCGCATG